TGAAATTGCTGATACTCAACTGCTTTTGACCTACAAAAATGGTGATTTCATGTGGTTTGATCTAATATTTGTTTTTATTTGACCTGTTAACTTCTTTGGAATTTTTATGTGTGTTTGACATGAAGAAGGGATATACTTTTTCCCTCTCCCAGTTGGTTAGTGATTTTTCTCAAAGTTATTTATCATAATCTTTCATTATTTTCAAAGGTATATTTCTGAATTGCATATTTTAGTATTCCTGCTCCATTATTAACTATAGTATAGTTTTGACATCAGACAGGTCAAGTTCCCCCTCATGGATCTTTTTTTATCCAGAGTTTCTTGATTAATCATGTGCACTTTCTCCATTTGTCGTTTCTGAAAATGTGTTGAGATTTATATTGAAATTGCAGTGAATTTTAGTTTAATTAGAGGAGATCTAGATCTTCAAAATAACTGACTTCTATTCAGGAACACTGGTATATTCCTTCATTTTTTTCAGATTTTCTTTTAGGTTATTCAGCTCTGTCTTAATGTTGTCCTCACACAAGTTTTGCATATTTCTTATGGATATCCTGGATATTACGTGGCTATTCTAATTTGTGCGTTTAGCTATTTTGAATGGGATTTTCCATTATCGTATTTTTTATGGTCTTTGCTTGTGTGTAGTAAATCACCTGTTTTGAATCTGAACACCTTACTGACTTCTGATTAATTCCCCTAGCTTATTAGAATCTTTGCCTTTTCTTGTAGATGATACTATCACCTGGAAATAGTGACAGTTTTGTGCCTTCCTTTCTAATATTTACACTTCTTATTTGTTGTCTTTATCATATTGCATTATTGAGGTCCACCAGGATGACGCTGAAGTTCAGTGAGGGTTTTGTGTCGTGTTCCTGACTTTGGTGTGATGATTGATTGTGATGACAGAGAGACCCATGAGATGGTGACAGCTGCATCAGTTAGCATGACATTAGCAGCAAGGAACTCTAACAAACACTGGTTTAAATAATAAAGTGATTTATTATCCAAGACAACACCAAGTCCAGAGTCAGGGATGATTCCAGGATTGAGAAGCCAGGTTCATTTTCTCTCTCCGCACTGCTCTTCTCAGTTGGCCAGAGCTCCCCCTCAGACCATTTGCCATCAGCATCATAGGATGGCTGCCAGAATTCCTGGTGTCTCTTTCACACACAATGTCAAGAGAAAGTCTGTATCTGTCCAGTATGTTCTCCTTAGAAGCAAGAAACCTTTGTCAGAATTTCCCCCTCTACCTCTCTCCCCCTGGCGACTCTTCCCTTCGTTTTTCATTTTCAGGGTTGGCTCACATACCCACTTCCAAACCAGAGAGCGCCAAGAGAATGGAATTACCATCATTGGCTGAGACTAATCATCTGGGAGACAAATGAATGAGTCAACCATGGAAACTGTGTGATAAGCATGTACGTAGGAGAGCCTTCCGAGAGGAGGTGAAAGATGAGGTCTTAAAGAACGAGTAGGAGCCATCTGAGTGCAGAAGGACATTCCAGGGAGAGGCAACAGTCTGTGCAAAGGCACAGAGGCATGATACAGCGTAACACATTTGGGCACCTCTAAATAGATAGGAACGGTGGAAATGTGTGGGGTAGAGGTGTGCATTTTATACTAAGCTGGAGTTTAAATTTTATCCTGAAAGCCATGAAAAACCTTTTAAGAAGAGGATTTGTTACCGACCAGGGTTCATGGCCTTCCCTAGGCAATAGAAATCGACTAGAGGCAAGACAAGAAATTCCCGCAAGGCTTTATTGGCGCCCCTGCTGCGGCAGGGGGGAGCGAGAACAAACAACAGGTTCCCTTGCTTGCTGGCTCCCTGAGGGGGGCAAGCTTGTTCCTTATATGGGGTGAGGGTAGGGGTGTGTCCAGGGGTCAGGCCAGAGGGGTGGCTTAGGTGTTTTGCTCACCCCTCTCGTGGTGGTGTGTGCAGGAGGTATTCTCAGTACCTTGCTTTTGCTCCTGACACCCTGTTTTTGCTCCAGGCTCTTCAAAAGTGGCAGTTGGGTTTTTTGGTCTCTGTATCTTTTGGGTCCAGTATTTGCCCCAACTGCACATGCACACAGTTAGTTTTAGTCCCATACAGTTTCTTTGTATTTTGTTGCTGGAGGAGAGGTGTGTCCAGGTGCAAGCACTGCAGCAAAGGGTCCCAGGTCCCAGCCTGACTCAAATTCATTTGACTAATTAGGCATTTAAAAATGATTGTTCTGGCAACAATTCAGAAGGAGCCAGACTGAGGTCAGGGAAACTAGTGAGGAGGCCATTGCTGTCACGCAGTTGAGAAGTGGTAAGCATGGAGGGGATGGAGAGGCAGGGACCACTTTGAAAGTGAATATGGTGGCAGAGTTTGTAGAAGCTGGTGACGGATATGGGGTGAGCAGTGAGTGAGAAGTCATGGCCAACCCTTAGATTGCTGGTGTGGATAGAAGGTGATGCCATTTACTATACAGTAACTGGTAGAGGAGGGAAAGTCTGGGGTGGGAGATACAGACTGGATGTAGGATACGAGCCTACATCGAGGTGTGTGGTGAGTCTGCAGCTCATTGGACGGTTTTGAGGTGAGATGGGTCAGAGATTCAGTAACATGTGTTTCTCAAACTAAACTAAGTCATGTTCAAACTTCTCTGGTCAAATAAATTTGGGAAATATTGAGTTAAATAAAGCAAAACTGGTTTCTTCTCTTTGGGACCTCTCAGACATTTTAATAGGTAAACAGTAATGTTACTGAGTGTTTACTGTGAGCCAACCACTTCCCACACATTAATTCATGACTCCTCTGTGCACAGTATCCCCATGTGGTATGGCCTGAATTTTTCCATTTTATAGATTTCACTGAATAGAGCGATTAAGTCACTTGTCCAAGGTCACATGACAATACAAGGCCAGGATTCAGACACAGAAAGATAATTTAAGAGCTTGTATTCTTTTTAATTTCAGCTTTATTGAGGTATAATGGACAAATAAAATTGAAAGACATTTAAAGTATATATTGTGGCAATTTGATGTACATTGTGAAAGGATTCCCCCTACTTAACTGATTACCACATTCATTACCTCACATATTTATCAGTTGTTTGTTTTTTTTTTTCGGTGAGAACATTTGAGTTCTACTCTCTTGCAAATTTCAGTTGTATAAAACAGTGTTATCAACTATAATGACCAAGTTTTACATTAGAACATCAAACCTTATTCATCTTACAGCTGAAAGTTTGCACCCTTTCCCTGTTTCTCCCACCCCCTAGCCCATGGCGACCACTTTTCTACTTTCTGTTTCTGTGAGTTTGACTTTTCTTTGTTGTTGTGTTTTTTTGTTGTTTTTTATTTTAGATTCCACATATAAGTGATACCGTGGAGCATTTGTCTTCCTCTGATTTATTTCACCTACATAATGCCCTCAAGGCCCATCCATGCTGTCACAAATGGCAGGATTTTCTTCTTTCTTGTGGTTGAATAATATGCCACTGTGTACATATACCACATCTTCTGTCTTCTTTATCCATTCATCCATAGATGGCCATTTAGGTTGTTTCCATATCTTGGCTATTGTGAATAATGCTGCAATGAACATGGGAGTGCAGCTGTCTCTTCAAGATCCTATTTTCATTTCCTTTGGATATATACTCAGAAGTGGGGATTGTTAGATCATATGGTAGTTCTATGTTTAATTTGGGGGGGACCCTCCATACTGTTTTCCATAGTGGCTGCACCAACAGTACACAGGAGTTCCCTTTTCCCTACATCCTCACCAGCACATGTAATCACTTGTCTTCTTGATGATAGCCGTGACTCTTTTTGAAGTATAGTTTTTGTACAATATTATATAAGTTAGGGGTATACAATATAGTGATTCACCATTTTTAAAGGTTATACTCCATTTATAGTTATTATAAAATATATCTGAAGAAAACCATCTTTTGAAAAGATACGTGCACCCCAGTGTTCATTGCAGCACTGTTTATAGTAGCCAAGATGTGGAAGCAACCTAAGTGTCCATCGACAGACGAATGGATAAAGAAGACGTGGTATATATACACAATGGAACATTACTCAGCTATAAAAAAGAATGAAATAATGCCATTTGCAGCAACATGGCTGGACCAAGAGATTATCATACTAAGTAAGCCAGAGAAAGACAAATATGATATCGCTTATATGTGGAATCTAAAAAAATGATACAAATGAACTTATTTACAAAACAGAAATAGACTCAGATATAGAAATCGAATTTATGGTTACCAGAGGGGAAAGGGGGTGATAAATTAGGAGTTTAGGATTAAAATATACACACCACTATATATAAAATAAATAACCAACAAACACCTACTGTATAGTACAGGAAACTATACTCAATATCTTATAATAACCTATAATGGAAGAGAATTTTAAAAAGAATATATATGTGTGTGTATATATATATATATATATCTGAATCACTTTGCTGTACATCTGAAACTAACACAACATTGTAAATCAACTATATTCCAATAAATTTTTTTAAAAAGAAAAAAAATATTGGCTATATTCCTGGTGTTGTACAATATATCCTTGTTGCTTATTTTATACCTAATAGTTTATACCTTTCAATCCCCTGCTCCTGTATTTCCCCTTCCTCTTCCCTCCCCCAACTGGTAACCAATAGTTTTTTTCTGTGAGTTTGCTTCTTTTTTGTTATATTTGCTAGTTTGTTGTGTTTTTTAGATTCCACATATAAGTGACATTATACAGTATTTGTCTTTCTCTGTCTGACTTATTTCACTTAGCATAATGCCCTCCAAGTCCATCCATGTTGCTGCAATGGCAAAATTTCCTTCTTTATGGCTAAGTAGTATTCCACTGTATATATACACAACATCTTCTTTATCCATTCATCTGTTGGTAGACACTTAGGTTGCTTCCGTATCTTGGCAATTGTAAGTAATGTTGTTGTGAACGTTGGGGTGCATATATCTTTTTAAATTAGTGTTTTTGGTTTTTTTCTGATATATGCCCAGGAGTGGAATTGCTGGGTCGTATGGTAGTTCTATTTTTCGTTTTTTGATGAATCTCCATATCGTTTTCCACAGTGATAGCCATAATTTTTGATGAGCGCTTGTACTCTTAACCTTAATAGTAATGTCCAAAAGGTGATAGTGTGCACAGTTTCCCAAACTAATTTCAAGGAACAATGGGCAAGGACACAAGTGACCTGCAGAGCTGTGTTGAGTAATGCTGCAGTAGCATGGTGGAGCCATGCATATGGTTGAGACGCTAAGGGGGAGGGTACAGAGTGACAAGAGCAGAGAGCTGAAGCTACCACAAATAGAGGTGAAAAGACTGTGGAAAAGACAGAGGTAGCTTAGAATCATGAGATGGAAACCAAGAGAGTGTGAAGTCACAGAGGTAGAGTGGTCAGTAGGAGGACAGAAGAGAGCACACATTGTCTTTAGCAACATGGTGATCATTGGATATCTTGGTGAGAGCCACTTCAGTGGTCTGGAAGGGGCAGTTGACTTCTGCAATATGAGGACAAGGATTGACTGAATTCTCTTGAATTCTAGATATTGAAATCAAAAAAATGGTAAGACAAAGGTTTCAAAATGTTCAGCTACTCTAGAGGCATGACCAGGAGGTTGGTAGATGATGACCAGAAGGAGAAGTGAGATTGATGTTCATGGCTAGGAAGAACATTAGGATTTGCTGTGAAGTGTGGTGTGTGTGTGTGTGTGTGTGTCTAACTTTCCATTCGTCTATACTTTCCAGAGTCACTGGGATGACTCTTATGGGTTTTAAATAGAACGAGCAGGCAGCTTCCCAAGGATATTCAGAGGCATCAGGAACATTTCTAGTGTGAGATATTTTGCAGTGTCTATGCCTGAAAGTGGAAACCCTCATCTGAAAAAGTACATGTCATTCTCGGGATCTTTTCTTTAAACCCATGAGACATGAGCTTCTCTTGAAGGATTAGACTTTATCCCCAGCAAAGGGAAGGTAAAGGAGTCACACAGGAGTTTAATGGCGTACCATCTTACTACAGTTGGAAGTCCGCATGCTGCTAAATGTGGATAGAAAACATTTGGGGCACTGATAGCTCATGCATAATACAGTGAACTCGAAAGCTTATTTCTGACCTAAACCATTAATCCCCACAACAGCAAGTGAATTTTTTTTTTTTTTTTGGCTTCCAGGATACAATCACAGGAGGTATGACATATACACACGTAATTAGGTGACCATAAAATCTATTAGGCAAACCTTTTGAGAGTGAAAGGGGCACTTTAATAATGCTGCTAGGAAACAGGCATACCGTGGGACTGTACCAGGCAAAGAGGGACAAGTGATCACCTTACATATAATGATACTGCGGTCTCAGCAAATGAAATTGGCCAATAACACAAGACTCTTCCTCTTTAGTTAAGAAGTGAGGGTCTTTCTGGGCCTCTCAGATCCCCTTCTCTTTAGGAAAACATGGTGGTTTGGAACAAGCTTTGGAGTCAGGCAGGCTTGGGTACAAACCCCTGCTCTGTTGTGTCCTGGCATCATGACCTTGTGCAGGTTACTTAACATCTCTCAGCCTCAGTTTCCTCATCTCCTCTTATGAATATCACATGATCATGTGCTTAAAATATCTATCCCTGTAAAAATTTATTAAAAATTTTAGTGCTCTTCTCTTTTCCCCTCTCCCACGATGTTTCTCAATAGATACAGGAGAAATAGCTCTGCTTCTTTTATATGCAGGTGATTGGTGCTTTCAGGGAAAGTATATGTATAGTGTCAAGTGGGACTTTTTTTGAGAGACCTAGACTGGAAGGGATGTGGTCCATTTTTTCAGGTAAAAAGTCTAAGACTCATAGAACTGAAGTGCCATGTCGGAGGACACACAGAGAGTTCTGTGGAACTGAATCTAGGTCCCCAGAATTCCAGGCCACTCTGTTCTTTCCACTCCATCGTATTTCCTAGAAGTGGAGTGATGACCTCTTCCTTCTCTCCCACTCTTCCTTCACTCTTCTTGTCCCTATCCTCAATTCAAGAGTACAGCACACCTCCCAGAGGCAGGATGGGTACAGCGATCAACATAAGTAGATCAATCAGAAGTTAGCCCACCTCAGCAAGTACGGCTGGTTAATAGGCAACAAATATGTGAACTCCATAGAGACCTGACAATTTCGTGTATTCTTGAGCAGTGGTTGTCAATCCTTTGATTCAGTGTGCCCTTCAGATTCAGTAACAAAGGTCTTAATGTTCTCTCTACCATCCTGAAATGAAACTCAGAGAAAACACAGTCTACTTACACATAACTTTAAAAGTCAAAATAATGCTCTAAGTGTAATGACAGGAGAACTTAGAAGTAATTCATAATAAAATAGTTAAGTCTTTCCAATGGTTCTTCTTAAGCATGATTCACCAGGAGGCAGAATGAAGGCATGGGAGGCTGGCTCCTCTGTGAATGTAATGGGGGGACATGGGCACCACTCAGTAGATGCAAGAACGTGTGATACTATGTAGGCATCTTGGACACCTTAGCCATTTCGGACAGCAGTGATGTGATATTCTGAACAGGTCAACAGCTCTTGGTAAGATACCTTCAATTTACCCAGTGGTTGTATGCCTGAAAAATTCAAAATATGTTAAAATCATATCTAAATGCTTTAGGTTTAAATGTAAAACACAGGTAGATTCTAGATTCAAATCATTCTAAATAGGTTTCTCACCAACATGGATAATATTTAATAGGACGTCTAAAAGTTATGTGGGATGCAAAATAATTCTTTATTTTGTGGGACCATCCTATGCATTTTTTGATGTCTGGCATCCTTGACGCCCTCCCACTAAGTGATGCTGACCCTGCCAATCATTGTGACCGCCAAAAAAGCCTCTACAATTTTCTAAAATACCCTCCTCCCTGCCAGGTGGTGGTACCACTTTCTTTGTGTCCCTGCTCTGCAGGTTTAGGGGGCATTCCATAGTTGGGTACCAGCACAGAGTGACTTGGGGTGCCACAGAGGGAACCTGAATGGTGGTGACCAGTGATGCCATTTGCCAAAGCCTGGAATGAGCAGTGCACAACCTGCTTGACTGTACACAGCAGGCACACAGCCTGTCCATCATCAGTGGCCAGTCTTTTCCTTCAGCATCGTTTGATTCTCGCTATTTCACTTCATGAAGTATTTCTTCAAGTTGAATAATGATAATAATGGTATAAAAATAGTTATATTTACTAAAATATAAGTTAACATTATTTCCTATGTGTCAGAAACTTTCAGCTATTATATAATTTTAATTGGGCTGAATAATTATAGAAATTTGAAAGCTATTTCCTTTTCCTTAAGCATTGTCACATCACTTCTAAAAAACGTTTTTAGCCATTGAGCTTTGTGAATACATTTAGGAGGCTTCTCATGTACTGATGAAGTAAAATAAATTTAATGAAACAGTGTAGATTGTCTCACTAATTTAACATTTCTGGTCTCTTTGGACATTCTTGTCCAGTTCATCAGAAAAGGCATGTAGGAAACTTTAAGCATCTATCACATAAAGAAAATTAAGAAAATATGGATAACCAACTATAATATAATTTCCCTTGTACTCTGTAGTAGTGGACTTGTTAGAAAACTAATCTGTGTTGGTAAAATGATATTGCTTGTCAATAGATTGTATGTACATATTGCTTAGAAATAGGCCAATGTAGCCTAATTTTCTTTGGTAAGATAGTAACATATAATTCCTATAGCTTTTTTTGGATACAGACAGCACTTATGCATCCATAAACAAAAAATAATTTTGTTTAACCCTCACCCCAGGCTTATGAGGTAGGTGTCACTCCTGTGTTGTTGTTAAGCAAGCTGAGCTCCAAGAATATTTTTTTAATTTTTATTTTATATCAGGGTATAGTTGATTTACAATGTTGTGTTAGTTTCAGGTGTATAGCAAAGTGATTCAGTTATACATATATCTATTCTTTTTCAGATTCTTTTCCCGTATAGGTTATTATAGAATATTAAGCAGAGTTTCCTGTGCTGTACAGTAGATCCTTGTTGTTTATCTATTTTATATATAGTAGTTTGTATCTGCTAATCCCAAACTCCTAATTTATCCCTTCCCCCCTCCTTCCCCCTCTGGTAACCATAAGTTTATTTTTGAAGTCTGTGAGTCTGTTTCTGTTTTGTAAATAAGTTCATTTGTATCATTTTTTTTAGATTTCACATATAAGCCATATCATATGATATTTGTCTTTCTCTGTCTCCCTTACCTCACTTAGTAAGATAATCTCTAGGTCCATCCATGTTGCTACAAATGGCGTTATGGCTGAGTAATATTCTTTTACATGGCTGAGTAATATTCCATTGTATATACGTACCGCATCTTCTTTATTCATAAATTGGTCGATGGAAGTTATTAAGAACTAAAGTCTCATAAGTGGCAGAACTGGGTTGTCCAGCCTTTGTCTGGTCTACTTTCCACTCTATCCCACTAAAAATTTGAGCCTAGAGATGAGGGGAAAAGTATTATGAAACTCCAGCACATCTAATGCTAGTGGTTAGAAAAACTATGACAGGGAAGAAAGCATTTATTTCCCTGCCTAACTCCTCCTTTCCAGAAACATAAGAGAATACTTCTGTTGTTGAGATCCAAGTACTGGAATACTTGGGCGACTTTGAAACATCAGTAATCTAGCTGATTTTATCTCAGCATTTATCTAGTAGCATTTGTAGACTAGCAGCCTATAGGCCTAAAAATACCCACAGGCTCTTTTTGTATGGACTGCACAGATTATTTTTTTTAATTTGAATTTTAAAGCTTTCAGATGGAGCTCAATATGGTCAGTTTTCCCCGGTCACCACCACTCCCTACTGTCCCATACCTGGCCTGCACTCATTCACATCAGGCACCTGCCTGGCCTGTAGAGGCACTCGCTTTTGTGACCCTGAATTAATGACCATGATTATGTCTCTCCCAGAAGCCACTATTTCACCTTGCTAGCGCTCTATTTTTCCTTCTTAGATCCTGGATTTCTCAGAAGAAAAATAAATTTGGGAAGGGGGATAGGGAGTACTGGGGAGATGGGCTGAAATTTTACATAATGTAACTGAGAAGGTGACATTTGTTTAACAACCTGCAAAGAGGGACAGAGTGTGAAACTGTCTGAAGGCAGAGTGCTCCAAGCAGAGAGAACAGCAAGAGAGAGCTTAACTGGCATGTTTGAGGGACAGCCAGGCTTCTGTGGCTGGAGTGGCATGAACAAGGGGGAGGGTCCTAGCAGAAGAAGGTCAGAGAGGTTAGGAGAGTAGACATCCCTGCAAGGACTTGGTTTATACTCTGAGGAAGATGAAAAACCGCTAGCGGACATTGAGCAGATGAGTGGCATGATCCATGTTATGTTTTCAAAGGAGGACTCCAGCTGCTGTGTTGACAATGACCCTTACATAGGCAAGGGCTAGAGCAGGGGGACCAGATGAGATGCTGCTGCAGTAATGTAAGTGAGAAAGACGGAGGCTTAGACCAGGTTGGTAGCGGTGGACATAGTAGGAAGTGGTCCGATTCTGAGTGTGCTTTGAAGGTAGAGACATAGAAGTTGCTGATGGGTCCATAGTGAGAGTGAACAGAGGAAAGTGAAGGTTTTTGGTCTGAGCAACTGGAAGAATGGAGCTGCCGTCAACAAAATACTGCAGTTTGGAAACTTGAGGTTTCCCTTTACCTCTTATTATAGGAGAAGGATATGGAAAACAGAAGGCAGAGGGAGAATAGGTTGCGTATTAGGAAAAGGAGACTTAAGGAGTTAAGGCCATTTACATGAGAAAATGCTGTTAGGTAAGAACAAAGAGCATGGAAGATCTTTGTGACCACAGGACGGTGAAAATAGCCAAAGGGGCTGGGAGTGGTCTTTCCAGAGCAGTTATGCCACTCATAGACAATATGTCGCTTTCACTGCTTTCCCAAAGAGGAGAGTAAAATGACCTTTCTTCTTGGGGATATGGAATACGAGATATGTAAAGATGTAGTGTTCCAGAAAGTCATAACTCTTGTCATCTTTCCTTACACTGTGAACATTTTCTCCCTTCAGGTTTCATGGAGTATTATATGGTGGTAGAAAAATTACAGCTTGCATTTATTTTTAAAAAATTTTTATTGAAGTGAAGTTCATAACATAAAATCAACCATTTTAACATGAAAAATATAGTACCATTTAGTACATTCACGGCTTTGCAACTAACACCTCTCTCTAGTTCCAAAACATTTTCATCACCCTAAAAGGAAACCTGGTACCCGTTAAGCAGACACTCCCCATTCATTTCCTCCCTCAGCCCCTGGCAACCACCAGTATGCTTCCTGTCTCTATGAATTTACCTGTTCTGGATACTTCATATGGAGATAAATGGAATCATATGTTATATAAGCTTCTGTGTCTGTCTACTTTCACTCAGCATGGTTTTGACATTCATCCATGTTGTGTCATGTCTATAATGATTGAATAATATTATTATATGGATAAACCACATTTTATCTAGTCATCCGTTTATGGACGTTTGGGTTGTTTCCAACTTTTTACTATTGGATTACTGCTGCTTTGAACATTTTTGTACAAGTATTTGTCTGAGTACTTGTTTTTAATTCTTTGGAGTATATACCTTGGAGTAGAAGTGCTGGATCATATAGTAATTCTGTTTGACTTGAGGAACTGCCAACTGTTTTCTGTAGCAGCTGAACCATTTTAAAATCCTATCAGCAATGTTCAAGGGTTCCAATTTCTCCTCACCCTTAACCAACACTTGTTATGTTCAGGTTTTAAAAATTATAGCTGTGGTTTATGTCAAAAAGTGTTTTCCTCTAAGAGTTTTATAGTGTCTGGTCTTACATTTAGGTCTTTAAAACATTTGGAGTTTATTTTTTGTGTATGGTGTTAGGAAGTGTTCTAATTTCATTCTTTTACATGTAGCTGTCCAGTTTCCCCAGCACCACTTATTGAAGAGGCTGTCTTTTCTCTATTGTACGTTCTTGCCTCCTTACGGAATCATAAAAGCAAAAACAAAAGCAGAAAACCGTGGTACTGATGAACCAGGTTGCAAGGCAGGAATAAAGAGGTAGACATAGAGAATGGACTTGAGGACATGGGGTTGGAGGGCGAAGCTGGGGCAAAGTGAGAGTGGCATCGACATATATACGCTACCAAATGTGAAATAGTTGGCTGGTGGGAAGCAGCCGCATAGCACAGGGAGATCAGCTCTGTGCTCTGCGATGACCTAGAGGGGTGGGATAGGGAGGATGGGAGGGAGGCTCGAAGGAGGGGACATGGCGACATGTGTATGCATATGGCTGATTCGCTTTGTTGTGCAACAGAAACTAACACAGTATTGTGAAGCAATTACACTCCAGTAAAGATCTATTTAAAAAAATTATAGCCATTCTAGTGGGTGTGAAGTGCTATCTTATTGTGGTAACAACTAATGATGTGGAGCTTCTTTTCATGTGCTTGTTGGCCCTTTGTATTTTGCTTGCATGTTTTATGGTATCTTTCATTTAGGCTGCTCAGGACTGTCATACCAGAGCTATTAGGAAGAATCTGTTGATATTTAAAAGATAAAACCAGTAATTCAGTCCTGCACATCATTT